ATGCGCGAGCGCGCTTGAGCGACGATCATGAACCACACACGACTGAAAACTGATCTCTCGCAACGAATTCATTTTTTGCTCAACGTCACTTTGCGCAAAATTCGCATAGTACCGCATGACCTACATGGATGCTATGTGGACAGTGCTACCACGCAATTAACTTTATAAATGCAATGAGGTTGCTCAGATAACGCGTCTTGTAACCAATGGGAAAAAGTTTTTATTTCCTTTTTTTTCTCTTCAACTTACGAACTATCATCGTAACGTGCAATTTTACGTCACGCAACATTGCTGCAAACTAGAAATTTGTGCCATTAGCTAAACCTTGTGTTCTTACTGCTTTTATATCGTCGCGCGAATGTATATGTATAGTACTTTTAACTCGATCATGCGTATTAAGTCTTAATTTACACTTCAAGATAACCGCGAAGAACGAGGGAAAAAGTATCGAGAGAAAGAGAGAGAGGGAGGTAGGAAGCCACGAAACGACGTAGGAAACGAGTATATCGAAGTCGACGGCTAAGTCCGATAACGAGAAAGACGAGCGAGGCAAAGCGAACGTTTTTATAATCGCCGCAATTATCTGCGAGGCCGAAGTCGGGCGTATATAACCCTAGCGCGCAACAGCTTCAACGGGCACCGCTTCTTATCGGGACACTGGCTGCGTGCCGGCGCGGTTGCATGCGGAGGCTGATAAACAAATAATTAGCATTCGAAGTAACCCGCATTCGTATTATCGCTGGCATCGCTCTCCTCGCCAAGGGAAGGCCTGCCCGCGTAACCCTTCGTTGACGTACATACCCAGCGCGCTCGACCCGACGAAGACCTGGCCACGTTTAACGTGCAACGGCATTCCGTGCCGCCCGCTACATTTCGCCCGACTTGTACCTGGACGGGTAATTAGCGCGGTATGGAAATCGCGCTCAACAATTCGACCGCTCGATCTAGGTACGTTTCTTTCCACCGCGGAATGTTTTGCGTGTCCGCGTAAGCGTATCGAGATTGTAAAGAGAACGCCAACGAGATCGTTTCAGGCACACAGAAGTAATAATACCATTTTAAATTATAATCCGATGGTATACACCGTATCTGTAACATGTTGCAATTTGCATGGTAATAATAGTTACATTACTTATCTACGATATTACGTGCTTTATGAATAATTTTAGCTCTCTTTTTTTTTTCTTTCGCAGCGCCAAGTATACCGCCGTGTGTTATGCGATACGAAATTGATTAAATTTTAGGATCAATTCAGACTCCCTCCCGAAATATCTTGAAACTATAATACACTCTAAGATATAAATGAGATTATTCTTAAAATTATAAATATATACGTATACCAGATATCGACTTAAAAAGTTTCCATCGTTAATAAATATTAATATCTCTCTTCGCAATAAAATAAAATAGCACCATATCGTGAGTAAAGCGATCTAGGGAAGTGATGAAAAGAAACGCATATATATATTAAGAGGAGTAACGAGTACGATTCAGTTAAACAAACAGAACTTGAAGTTAAAATACGTCAAGTTCGACTTGGTGAAGTAGTTAGTCAATACCACTGGTTGGGGGCTACTCAATGCAGGTGGATCCAATCAGAAACTCGACCATGCCGGCTCGGCAGGTGCTTGGAGATCGCGGTCAATGGCTCTCGAGAACGACCGACACTTTTTACACCGAAAGCAGAAAAGAGCGCCGACTAATTTTGCGCGGCGCTCCATTATGGAGCAATCCTTTTTCCTCCGCGGCTCCGTCGTTCTTTTAATTGTCTCGGCTAATTCGACGACAACGGCTTGATAGCGGAAATAAATTTTCAAGTCGTTTCACGATGGACTTGCGTTTACGCCGAAATGAAAATTTGAATAATCGTAAGCGAAAGAGACATCGTCTTGTCTCTGGATAGGAAAACATCTCTCTCTTGCACATTCAAGGGAGGGATTGTTCGGATCAACTGTACGTATTCTCGATATCTTCGTTAGCGTGCACGCATAAAGTGCCGATCAACGCGCGTCTCGCCTGATGTGCGAACGAGGGTTCTCCTCGAGCTGAAAGGGGAATGAAAGTTTGACACGGACGTCGGATGCGGTTCGCCACGAAGCTCGACCGGCAGACACCCCACGGTTTGTTGCTTCGCACCCTCGCTGTCGGGTCTTTTACCTCCCTCGCATTCAGCTGTCACGTGGCTCGTGCTCGAACGATCGCCGGCGTTTCCGCTTTATTTTCCATCGTCCGGCGCGGCGTCGCATCGGGTGTCGAGTGACCGATCTCGTTAACGATCTCGTGCGGCGGTCGATACTTCCTGGCACGTTCGAGGCCTCGCCGGTCGGAAAGCAATCGCGCGACGCCTCGGCGCGAATGAGTTCTCGGAAAAAGATCCGAGCCGGCACAGACGGGACGAGGCGAGACAAGCGAGGATTCTTCGTTTTAATTTATGCGCGGCGTAGCTCCAGGCATTATTAGTCCTAGCTGGCTACGAGGGGCGTGACGTCACGCGGCTAAAACAAAGGATCCTACCGGTGCCCATTTCACGTCGGCTCCCTTTTAACCGTGCCGACAGGAGGGTGCGAGGGACCCCGGGCCTCGCCGGTGCCGGTGCCGGTGCCGAGTACTCTGGTACTCTTTACGCTCCGTCAATTTCGTACTACGCACTTTTTCACCTATACGATTCGTTTGACTAAACAATCTCTCGCGGTTCGTTCCAATTTGAGAAGGTGATAATTCGTTACGAAGAAAGGCGTATCGCTCCAAGAGGTAGCAAAGACAAAAGGGTGACAATAGCTGCGAGTCGCGATCGAGATGGTTAAACGCGTACGCGCAACGCGTCACGGAGGGCGTGTATCCACGCGTAGGGTTCAGCGATGGAGACTGTGGAGGGAGCTGATCGAGGGACGTCGTTGTCTCCGCAGGCCACTGTCATATTGTCCCGGCGGATCGATACGTGGCCTGCCTACAACCTGCACTCATCGAGCTTGAAGAGGGCGTGGCTCGTACACCGGCGGAGAGACACTCAACCCCGTTGCGATCTCCACCGCGCTAAACCTTCCGCCTCCCTCTCGACGTAAAAGCAGGAGAGACGATTTCGTCCTTTCAACCCTCCGCGGTTCTCCCGTGCCAGTCGTCACCCTCTACGACCTCTGCGTCAACGAGCGCTCCCATTCGTCGAGAGCATCGTAACGGGGAGCAATCACACGGCGTCCGGAGATTTCTCGGAATAATAACTCTCGATACCTTTCGACGTTCTCTCGTCGTTCAAATGTAAATTATAGATATCTCGCCCTTCGCACTTTTCTAGAGATATAAATCGTTCTCGCGAAACAGATCCGCATTTTAACGCGTATTGTTAGTTATTTAACTTATTGCTGGTTTAAAGGTAACGACGCTAAGTCAGTCGGAAAGCCTTGAAACGGCGCTTCGTACACGAGCGCATCCTAAATAAGGACCATATACAACAATATGTCATGTTACCGCGAAGAAATATGAGCGGGACATTTGTTGTGCGCCTTGATGAATGATCGAGGCAACCGAGCAGGACTCCGAATCTCTTCGAAGGATAGATCGAGGCGTTGTGCGGTCGCGACTTCTCTCCGCTTCTCCTTTCTCTTCGCTCTTCCACCTTTCTCGCATTCTCTCTCTCTCCCTTTCTCTCTCACGTCGCTTCCATCCTGGGAGGGTGCGCGCGTTCGTTGTCTTTCGCCGGTGTTGCTGGCGCAAGGTTGAATCCACGTGGGGGCGTGTCGCCTCCATGGCGCCGGCTGCTAATGGCCGCGCGGCCCTCCAGACCTTAATTTCCTGCCGCTTCCGCGGACCCTCTCGCTTTTACCTCTCCGCGTCTAAATCCGCTTCGGGACCTCTCCTCTTCAGCCTCCGGCCCTTCAGTAGCCGCCGACGCTCTCCTTGTCCTTTCACCCCCGCGCTTACCCCCGCGAGCGATTTGCATGGAGCTGCTTTTGATGAAGTTCGTTATCTAAAGTTTCAGTCGGCTTCTGCCGTTCGCTCTAATTTTTAACTCGCGCACAAATTGCGTCCCCTCTAATTCCTCGGGCCGCGTGTGCGCGAAAGGGCACGAGTTCCGCAAGTTTCTCAGGAATTGAAAGGCTCATTGAAATCCGCCATGGAATCTACACACAAATTGTGTCAAATTGAATTTGTTCAATTTGCATCAAGAGTTCATCACGCTTCTATCACAAATTATACTTCTTATCTCGTTACCGCTCGCATACTTATGTCAGATCTCAAGCGTGATCTTGATCTTCTTCATTTGTTTCCAAGACCGCAGCGGTTTCCCACGTTATTTTGGGTCGCTTAATATGGTATCATGAAAATCGTACGTCGACCTTGTGCTTGATTCGAGAACAATTTGCATGAAAGCGGCCTAGGTGGAGCGCGGTCGGTCTATCCGGGTCTCATTACTTTCAGCGACTAATCTCGGATCTCTTCTAGGATAGGAGCGGCAATTTAGTGTCATTATACGCCCTTAGGGGAAGACTTTTCTCCTCTCTCTTCTTGGACCCGGGCCCGGACCCGGGCTTCTTTTTAGATCGATTTAGACGCGGCGGGGCGATTATGGGCGTCCTCCGACCGCCAGATTTCGATATTACGAACCGCGCTGGCACGAAAAAGTACCCCGACAGTCCCGTGAATCGATACGCGCGATACGTAATTCGCTCCAGAGTTGTTATTACCGATTTGCGTAATCGCGCCGACGAGATTGCGCCATAACGAGCGTTTCCGATGTTAAAAATTCCGAAAAGAACTGGTAATGCCCGCCCGAGCGTTAGCACATTGTAAACCGCGACCATGCATGCCCGTAAACATTTGTTGGCGTGTGCGTTCTCAACAAAAGAATTTATAATCTTTTATACGAACATCGCGTCGCACGGCAATGTATGTACCGATATAAAAAATCAAGATAGATATCGATAAGGCTCTTTTCTTACGTTATAGTAAAACAAAAATGTGTAGACCACAGAGTGAGCGTAGATTTTACAATAATGTTGCAGGATCATCCGAGCTTACGAGGGACACCTTTGGCCATGCTGGCGGCGCAATGCAACAAGCTGAGCAACAAGAGCCCGCCACCGCTGGCGGACGCAGCTGTGGGCAAAGGTTTCCACCCCTGGAAGAAGAGCCCGCAGAGCAGCGGCAGTTCGCCACAGCACACCGGCGGGGGAGGCGGTGGCGGAGGTGGAGGGGGTGGCGGGAGCAGTGGGTGCACAACGACGGGAGTGAGCCAGAGACCGGCGGCGACGAGCAGCGCCGGCAGCACGACCGGTGGTTACGCCAGGGCGCCGGTGACGTCTTGCGCCTCGACCGCGCCACAATATGGTAGCGAATTGTATTTCCCCGGGACGGCGAGCGCCCAGCCGGCCGGTGACCCGCATCACCATCAAAGTAGTCTTCTGGGCAAGGTCGAGGGCGCGACTCTGGGCTCGGTGTACGGCAGGCATCCGTACGAATCGTGGCCGTTCAACGCGATGCCGGGCGCAACGCACGGCGGTATTAAAGCGAGCGACGGCTGGTGGGACATGCACGGCGCCGCGACTGCCGGCGGATGGCTGGACGTGAGCAGCACCGTCGGCGTCGGTGTCCACGCGGCGCAAATGGCCAATTACTCGGCCGACTATTCGACGAGCCTAGCGCTGGCCGGCAATCACTTGCTGACCACAGCTACGACGGCCGGTCACAATCTCCTGCAAGATACGTACAAGTCGATGCTACCGGGCGGGCCGCCCGGATTTGGGCTCCATCATCACGCGGCCGCCACAGCCGGCGCCGGCGCCGGTGCCGGAAGCCCTCAGGGCAGCGGCGGCGGTGTCGGCGTCGGGGGCGCCGGCGTCAGCCAAGCGCCCTCGCCGCGTTCGCAGAGACGCTACACCGGGCGTGCCACCTGCGATTGTCCGAATTGTCAAGAAGCCGAGAGACTCGGTCCCGCCGGCGTGCACCTCAGGAAGAAGAACATCCATAGCTGCCACATACCGGGTTGCGGCAAGGTCTACGGGAAAACGTCGCATCTGAAGGCCCACTTACGGTGGCACACTGGTGAGCGACCGTTTGTTTGCAACTGGCTTTTCTGTGGCAAGCGGTTCACACGTTCGGATGAGTTGCAGCGGCACCTTCGAACCCACACCGGCGAAAAGAGATTCGCCTGTCCGGTCTGCAACAAGCGGTTCATGCGCAGCGACCATCTCGCGAAGCACGTCAAGACCCACAGCAGCAGCAGCAGCAGCAGCGGCAGCAAGGGCAAGGGGGGAGCGGGGAGCTCGTCGGCCGAGTCCTGCTCCGACAGCGAGGACAACGGGAGTCAGCAGAGTCCCACTTCCAGCTCGGTGCCGCAGCCGCAGCCGCAGCCGCCGCAGCAGCAGCAGCAGCCGGCACAGGCCCAGCAGCAGCAGCAACAGCAGCAGCAGCAGCTGGCGGCGGCGGCGGCGGCGGCGGCAGCGGTAGCGGCGGGCCAGGACACCAGCAACACCACCTCCCCTCAGACCACCACCACCACTCTCGGCCATCAGCCGACAACACCCATGACTCCAATACAGATGACCCCGCCGCCTCTGACCCCACACCATCCCCACCACCCGCATCTCCCGCCTCTAATGCACCATCCTCATCATCACGCAACCTCCGTCCCGGCGGCGCACCACCCGCACGCGGGGATGAGCATGCACTGAGCCCGGTGGGGCCCGGAGCCGGTGCCTGCAGTACCGCTGCCGCAACGGCCCTGGGCTCCCCCCTATCCTACCCCCTCAACCTGAACCTCATGCAGAATCACTCGACCATCAATCCATCGACTCCCCATCACCACCATCAGCAACACCAGAATCATCACCATCACCATCACCATCATCATCACCCATCGCACCAACAGCAGCACTCGCGACAAAATAACTCCTACTCTGTGCAACAGAATCCTGGCACGCCGGGGACCGCGCAGACTCCCTCACCCTCGTCCCCTGCGCCTGTACATAGTCTCTAAGCGGTTACGAGCGCACTCGCGTCCAACCACCGGTCACAATCCACCGCACGTCCGTCCGCCGCGCTCATACACGCAGGCACGAATGATACCTACACGTAGACACGAGTACATACACGGAGTTTACACACGAATCTGGCTCCCCGTCCTGGTTCTGAATACGGAGATGGTCCTCGTAACGCACGCACGCGGAAATTTCAGGATTTTTTATTTGTACATAATATATATATTTATATATAGAAAGAGAGAGAGAGAGAGAGAGAGAGAGAGAGAGAGCGCGAACGAGAGGGAGAGAAAGAGAGAGATGATATTATATTAATTAAGTGGTGTAATGATGTGTAAAAAAGTAACCCGTATAAATATATAAATATAAATATATATATAAATATATAAATATATATATATACATAAAGCACTGTCGCGTTGTACCATACACCGACAAAACACTTCGCGCCCTGCCGACTCTTCTCTTCCATTTCATTTTTGGAAGGCGAGAGACGGAACGAACTAAAGAGAAACGACCGTGGAGTATGGACACGGACAGGTTCCAAACGATTTCATACCACACAGGGCCTTGAGCATTGTCTGACGAGAAAGCGATTTTCCTTAGTGAATTAAAAATTTTTTCCAGGCAATTTGTTGATTACGTTTGGAACTTGGACTTGAACGATAACCCATATCAGCCCACCCTTTGGATGTAGTATCGCACTATTATCAATGAATTATTATTAATTATTATTAATTATTAATTATTAATTATTACTATTAACTCTTCTTTATTACTGTATTATTATAAAAATTATAAATTCATTTTAAAGTGAGAGAAAGAAAATAAATAATGCTTTTGTGAATAATGAAGACTCTATTCGACTTTCACTCCATTCACGAAGCTCGTTCCCACCGCCCAAATGCCAACTTCCTACCGTAATCTACGAAAAGACAGTCCACGCTAGTTTTTCATTAACTCCTAGCTCAACCTTCGCCCCTTGCTGCCGCTGATTGTTAAGGTGCGACCCGTGCGCCCCGTCAACCTGGATTAATTTATCTTCCTCGCCTGCTAAACGTTGATTCCTACGCACGAACTGAAAGTAAGTCCATCCACAATTGTTTTGCGAGTACAACGTCGCGTCTGTCCGCCAATAATGATTTTTCATTTTGACACATAGATCTAAATATTCGCGATGAAGGATCTCGTTAATCCGACGCTAGCGAATACCCCGAGCGTATCAACAGACCGACAAAGAACATTGATTGTGAGCGGAGAACACGACGGAGCACGAGCGGGACACGAGCTTCTGGGACGATATTATCGCACGGGCCGTTAAATCCCAGATCCTACCAACCGTGAAATGTCCCGTCATAACATCAGGCCTCCCCCACTTTGTCGTGCCACTTTATTTTCCCGCTCCGGGATTTTATTCCGACCTTCGCTCCGTTCGGAGATTTCGTCGATTACGCGGCGTCGGACATCGTTCTGGCATCGCCTCGCGGGCGCAACGGAAATGCGTCCGATACGTGCTTCAGCTTCTCGATCTTATTAGCGAGAATGACTCGGCTCGCTTCTCTCGGGCCTAAACAGTGGAGTAGCCGCGTCACGCGATCATTAAGCTTCTATAAAGTTGATTCTGCCGAGCATTCTGGCCGGTCATAATTGATTACAACATGCGCAATATTCTTCAAACAATGACAGCAGACGCAGTAATTCGTGTCACGAGACAATTGCATGTTTTTAAACATAGATTGCCGTTAACAGATTAATGAAGCAATTAGAGAAAAATCATCTCTCGCACGAAAATCAACTTTCAATCTACGGACCAAACTCGTGTGTCCCGTCGAACGCGCTGCAGATTCGGCATGCCCTGACGGAGACACCGCAATAAACAATTTTCAAGCGCGGCGCCATAAACTGGATCAATATGGCAGAGATTACGAAATAAGATCGTTATGCAAAGCAGTCGGAGAGGGTCGCGCCGGGGTTGCGCCGCAGCGATTCGCGGGGGGGTGCGGTTAACGTCTAGCGGCAAGCGTGCAAGCCCGGGGGATGGCTTTTTCGGTGATTTAACCGAGGAGGGTGAACGTTTGTTATTCAATTTGCAACCCCCTCGGTACCAGCCACTGCTCACCCTCTACCCACAGATCATCGCGCCTTTACGACCATGGCCGTACGCTCCTAATGCAGGAAGCGTTCTTCCTCGCTCGAGATATAGCGATTGGTGGGTATTCCGCGCCGCTTCAACTCTTCCGCACTTACGTAACTACTTTATCATCCATTCTATTATTTGTTTCACGGAAGCTGACAACAGTCACACGTACAGCGGCCGCAACGTGCTGAATCTCTGCTGTGCTCGCAATCAGTTATAATTCATTAAATTAAAACAAGCATTGTTGCTGTGAAATAAACTAAAAAAAGTTCGAAACAAATTAATTTCTCTACTTCGTCGTAATCTTTTATTCTCCTTCAAGTATTACACCACGTTTGCTGTATATTTTCAAATTAATGCGACTATTTATATAATATCGATGTTTCGATATTTAAAAAGTTAATACTTAAAGGGAGACAATATAATCTTCAATAAAATATTTTCGCGAAATATTTAGTAGGCTTGACGTGAATTTGATTTTACCACGTGTACTTTCTGTAATTCTTCCGAAGAAAGTGACAATTAGCCTTGCTATTATTAATGGCCTTTCATCATATATGTCCGTACAAATTACGCCTCGAGAGATACGAATGGACTGATATTCGATTAGCTTGGCGGATACTCGATGTCAACGTACGGTTTTATCGTGGTGCAAGTTTTCCCGCGCTCGTATTTATATACGCGCGCCAATAAATTAAAGGGAAGGATTTCCTCCGGGAGATAGTCCGTCCAGCAGCTTGCGAGTGAATAATTAGACGCGTGCGGGTGTCACGTCCGCGAGACCATTCTCAAGGCTCGGGGTCATTAGATCCGTCTGTTCTTTCGAACGTGTTGCGATAATAAAGGTCGCGCACCGTCACCAGACAAAGACACCGCTGTGCGATTAATTTCACGGCGGTGCGCCCCATCGCGATACAATTGAAACGAATGGAGCGGCGGGAGCGTTTTATGAAGCCGGCGGAACGACACTTTGCTCGCAAACACCGTCCCGCACGGATCGCGTTCATCACGATCTATAAATGGATTACAAGCGGCAGAGGTGTAGCGTACAACCGAGAGAAATTAATGGAATACGTTGCACGTTACAAATATAAAAGTAGCAGTTAATGTAAAAACATTTATGGGCGCGGCAGGTAAGTGAAATGCTTTTTATTTCGTTGTAATTAAAAATTCAGTGATAAAAATTTCAAGTCAATTGGTTTCCGTCTGGTGAATAACGAGTATACGTCCCAAGTAGAGGAGGCGACGGTAAACTAGCACTTTGAAATTTCACACCGCGATGTCGGCAAAGGTTAGAAAAAATATGGACAAAGGAGTTCAAAAGATTCGTTTCTCGCCCCTTCGAAGTCTGTTAACAAATCTCATGATCCTAACGATTTGACTTCGGTCGGGGATACCACGGTTAAAATTTCAAAAGCGAACCGCCTCCTTCTCGAACTCGCCGCAGACTGGCGTTTCTGGGCAAGGGCGAGAGGCCGCGTGATAAAAAAAATCGACATATCGCTGGATACATGATAAGAACTCTTTGTACTCTTTGTCTTTTGTGAAAAAAAAATAGAAAGTATCTGTTGAAAAGTGACACACGTTTTTCTCTCGAAATAATTTGGATTATTGCGTCAAGCAATAGATTTTATCTAGATCCGCTACAATATTATTTGACATTTGTTAAGCGCGAACGAGACGGCGTAATCAACCTGCCGAACAGTCGAACAGATTAACACGCTAATCCGAACCGGTTGTAAAGCCGAGGGAAGGCTGCAGAGAGAAGACTAACGAGGCTATGGTTAGACCCACGGTTTATGGACATATGGTTAACACAGTTACATGTAGTTTGCCGGAAAAGCTGAGCGACACACATGCGTGAGGTTAGTACGCACTTCAAAGGCCGCCGTTTTCAGTCGCACGCAGACGCGCGCGACGTACACGTGCTGGTATAAGAGAAGCACGCGAGTCCTGTTACCAAAGTGCCGCGCACTCGAAAAAGCGGGGATTGGAAAGACGGGATCGGGAAACCGGGGAAACTGCCGTCTGAAAAGTCACCTCGAACCCGAATAAAGAGCCCTTTTAATTTAATGACCGCTGAATTTTATTAACGACGCATACTGCGTGACGAGGGGGAGAGGTGTGATTCATTATTCACACAACTATTTAAAGAATTCGACGCGTGCGAGTGTATGAGCGCATAAAATATTGAAGCGCCTTATAAATTATTAATGCTACACGGAAAGACCGGCTAAGGCAAAAAATAACTAAAATTAAAATGTTGCCGTATAAATAGTGGGGCATTCACATTGTTTTGTGTTGCAACATTCACGAAGTTTGCTGCACAAAATCATACCAATGTGGATATGACAACCACAGATATAATTTATTGGGGTTGTGTCAACCCTAATTGGACATGTGATAACCGTATCGGTCTCTCCGTGTACATTTCCGCAAATTTTTGCATTTTGATATGTTTTTAAACATTTATCATCGTTTAATAAATGTTTAAAAAACGTAACTGTCTCGTGTAAAAATGGTACTTCGGGTAAGTAAAAAAAAACCGTTTTAACGTTTCTCAAATAATTACGGAAAAGGCGTTGAATTTTATACGTTGCTCATTTGTTCAACTTGTGTTAAAAATTAATTTTTGACGTTTATTAAAATTTCTTTTGAACATAGCGTTGGGTTTTATACCAGATAGCCTTGTATCTCTTGCGAATGAAGTAGTATATCTCGGAAAATCAGACAAATAACGTTATCCGACACGAGCGATCGATGCGCTCTCGTGTTCGACAATGTCGAACAGACGAGTCTAATGGGCAAACAACACCGAACATTCTGACGCTGTCATAACGAGCGTCGGCCGGCCATCGCATCGTGCCGCGCGGCACCGAATAGAAGAGGCCGAGGCAATCCTGTAACGCAAGGCTGATAACATTACCGTCCGATTCGAGTTAATTGCTCGTCGTTAGAGGTCATTAAAGTA